TTAAACCAGGGCTGTCTCCAGTCAGTGTTATGACCGATTTTGAAAATGCCCAGATAAATGCTTTTTCCCATAATTTTCCAGATATCAGGAACAGATTTTGTTTTTTTCACTTCAGTCAATGCATTTGGAGAAAAATTTAGACAATTGCTGACATTCGATCCAAATACGAGGATAAGGATGATCCGGATTTTGCATTGAACGTGCGAAAGTTGGCCGCTCTTGCATTTGTTCCAGAGCCTGACATAGTTGATTGTTTTGAAAGACTCCTCCGGACAAAATTTTATACGGATAACGAAGACCTGATGTCAGATTTGGTAGATTATTTTGAGTCCACGTGGATTGGAAAGCCCCGATTAACCGGCCTTGTCAGAATGCTTCCTTAATTTAAGCTGAGCCTCTGGAATTGTTACGAGGCATCGTTGAATGACCTACCCAAAACTAACAACGCAGTTGAAGGCTGACATCGAGGATTCAGCTCTCTTTTAAGAGCAAATCATCCATCTATTTGGAAATTCATTGAGGGTCTGCAAAATCAGCAGAGCCTAAATTAATTCCAAATCAACCAGTACATTGCTGGATTACCACCAGCACAGGGACGACGGTGTTATCGAGACACAGCATTCCGTATTAAAGAAATCGTTGAAGACTATGGGAATCGCGACACCTCCGATTATTTGCAGGGAATTGCTCATCATTTTCAATTCCAATCTTGCTAAATGGCCATGCTTAGGGGGCACTCGTCGTATTAAAAAATGTCCTTTTTAGGGCATAAAAAGGCTCTTTTCAGAGCCAAAAAATATTTATTATTAAAAAAAAACTAGGCAACACGAGTTAGGTATTTTATTTTTAATTATTTAATAACATAATTAATTTTCCATAATTTTCAGTTTCATATTAGTCCCATAGAAAACATTCGTTTTGTAAAAAAACATACCATCGACGTATTTACTATCGGCGTAGATACTCATCGGCATTTTTTCCGTCAGCGTAGATACTAGTCGGCGTAGATGCCGTCGGTGCAGATGCCGTCGGCGTAAATGCCGTCGGCGTAGATACCGTCGGCGTCGATGCTATCGGCGTAGATACCGTCGGCGTTGATACCGTCGGCGTAGAGACATGGAACCGAAGACATAGGCTGCCCTCGTTTGGATCAAATATGCGTTGATGAAACTTTACTTTGTTGTATTTTTCATATGGAATTTAATCCTAAACAATGTACATTTTATAAAGTTTTTTGTATAAGAAAATGGTTTATAAATAATTCTTAAAAATTAAACATGATAATATTTTAACATTGGTTTTTTTATTTTACATAGGGTAACCTTTATAAATGCTTATAGATTATAAAATATATACATGGTATTTAAAAAATATATAGATGATATTTACAAATTAAAAATATAACAAAATAAATATGGTATTTAATTATTTAGACATGCTTTCCTGTAGGAGCAACCTCATAAAATCTTTTTCTGATTCCTCCCACTCACGGCCACCAGCGTCTATCTCATGATCTGGCCATTCATCATCCTCAAGTTCATTTCTCCTATAAAATTATAAATATTAATATTAATTTATTTTAAATGTATTTTAAATTTACTTTAGAGAGTAATGTTCGTGAGCTAGGGTATGGATTTTGTCTTCTAGTACCACCCTCTTATCATCAAAGTTATTCAGTGTTATTTTATTTGTTTTTATCGTCATTAACTTGTGTTTATAAGATCGTATGGAAATATTCTCTCTATTAACATCCATAAACACTTTTTGTGATCGGTGAACGTCATATGGTTATTGACAACATGCTTCCTTATCCCCTTCACTTTGATTTTATCCTTCCCAGCCAAAATGCATGCATATGACTTTCCTCGCAGCGCGCAAACCTCAGTCATAATACGACCATCCGTCTCATAGGAAAACAGACCTGGGATTTCCTTTCGTTCAGCAATGTAACATGGATGGTCCTCTGGCAAGTAGGAAGTATCCATACGGTCAAGCAAATGGGTATTCTTCACAAGATCATCGTAGATATCATCAGTGTGAATAAAATATACCAGTAAGTCTAATTGTGTAAATTATGTAAATATTTATAATAATAAATATAAATTATTTATTACTTGTGTCGGTGTACATCAGCTCGATTTTATCCCCATAATGTTTTTGCATCACGTTATAATGATAATCATACATCAGGGTCTTTGATATATCCAACACTGCTAAACCTACAATTATTAAATATTAATGAGAATATAATAAACATATCATTGTACGTACCGATATAAATAGATTTATCGAATTTTATAATTTTATGCTCCAGTGTTATCGCACTCAAGTTAACATTATATGAAGTTGCATATTTAAATGTGCTCAAGTTGATATAACTCGATATACGACGATCCAGCGTTAGAAATATTATTTTCAAATTGGCCCCCCTGGTTAGCGTTGTCTCCTTCATCGTCACCAATAACAGGCAGGCCAGTGTTAGGGGTGTCACCCATGGGAGTATACTTATATACTGTTAGCAGAAGACCATCGATAGATTCTAATACATAACCACTCCCTTTTGCCACATAAATTTCCTCCTCGTGAAATAATTTTATGAAAGCCTGCTCTATTAATAAATTTATATCGGAATCCATAAAAATTTCTCTGGTCGACGTCTTAAATGACCTATTTTGCAATGAGTTATCTACATGCGGTTGATTGTACGTAGATTCTAATTTTAAATTAAATTTTATAGGATTAATAGCGACTATTTTTGTTAATAATTTAAATAAGTGAGAAATGAAATATAATTTTCGAAATTGTTCAGATTTTTAGCGTAATACCATACGATTTTTCGACTACGTGCGGATTTAACTTCAATGAAGCTGGGTGCATTAGCCTTATCCATACGAGCCTTTTTCGATTTGATACCCGTGGCAGTATTTTCTACGTGTACGCGCTTACCACCCATCAGTCATATAAGAATCTACTTAAAAAAAAAAAAATCTAGCGACGATAATGTATAAAAAAATCTAACCTGACGCATCGCATTTTGAGCATTTTCTAGAACTGCCACGCACATATCATCATACTCATCGTTTGGCATATATGACTGATGGTGAAGCTCGTTTGGGGGGCTAGCGGGTATATCTAGTACTATAATATTCTGGGCGATCTCTATTTCACCTCGTTGCAGCGCCCGTGCGCGTACAATACCTTATAAAATAAATATTAAATTAAATATCAAAATTAAAATTAAAAACCTAATAAATATCTAATTAAAATAAAAATGTGGCACCGAATCTATTAAAAATCTAGTGCGAATAATATTTCTTTTAAAAATAAAAAACTGATTAATAAAATCGACTAGTTTAAAACAAATCTAACGTCTTTATGTAAGTAACGGAGGGCCTTTTAAAAATCTAATTAATTCTGATAAATAAAATTTTACCTGTATCCTCATCTTCTATTATGATGCATGTGTCATAGTTGGATACCATATTTGAGTCACCGGCCTCGATTTCGGGGACAACAATTTGAGGTGCTAACTGTATGACGCTCGGTCGTGCTGGCTGATCTATGATCTGTGCAGCTGGCAATGGTCTGAAGCGAGGCGGAACGATACCTTAGGGAAAAATTAATATTAAATAAGATACAATTTTATACTTTATATATATTTTTAGTACATACCATGAATGTACTTCATATGTTTGTTGAGGTTGGACTTATCGTTGAATTTTGAAGGACATGCAGTGCACAGAAAACGTACACCTACATGTTTTTTTCTGGTGGGCTAACAAATTGTCTTTACGTTTGAAAACTGACGGGCACTGATCACACTTATACATTTTTAAATTTTATAAAGTAATAGCGAAATAAAAACACAAAACGTATGGTGTAAATAATGTTGAAAAAAAAATGAAATAAACACTTGTAAAAATATTTTAAAACTGAGAGAGTAAATATACGTGTACGGTTGTTTAAGACGCACTAAACGGAAAATCAAGAGTCTCTTCGATTTATAAGGTCATAGACACATGGGATTTTAGGTGGGAATTGTTTACAAAGAGCAATACGGCGGGCGTGAACAGAGACTTTGACCACATATGGTCACGATAATCCTTTGAAATAGCCGGCTATCCTCAACCCCCATAGAAATCGGTTACATGCAATAAAACAATAAAGAGAGGCTACAGCCTAAGAAAGCGGTATAACGATAAAAGCGCTACATAAAAAGGAAGGTCAAAAAGCATATCTGTCGCCAAAGGATGACCCATATAACGATAATCCTTTAAAAAAAACCGCCTATATAGAAATCGGTCAAATCCGATGACAAAAAGGGACGACACGGCCTAAAAAAGCGGTATAACGGTAAAAGTAAAGAGTATTACTTTCTTATATAAAAGTAAGGATATCTGCCACCAAAAGATGACCCATATAACGATAATCCTTTAAAAAAACCACCTATATAGAAATCGGTCAAATCAAAAAAGTAACGGCACACACTTATAACAGTAAATTATGGTGGCAGATGTTAACTGGGGTAACTAGGTGCCGAAAGATATTATTATGATTACACTAAACCTAATGTTATATTTGATACTATACATAATAGAGCTCTTTATTTCACGGGTTCACGTGAAATTAAGATTCAATTTATACAACCCGTTGCTTAAAATTTCACGTGTATTTATAATTTTGTTAACGTGAATCCGTGAATTATTATATTCACGCGACTCCGTGAATTGGATAATCACGTGAATCCGTGAATTTTTATAATCACGTGAACTATTAATTTATATAATCACGTTTGTCACCATTGGTCTTTGTATGTAGTGACTATGACGTGTGAACTAGGCTTAACATTAAGTATAACTGTTTAGGTACCTACGCTCAGTAAATAATATTAATAATTAATGTTTTGTATAATAACTTTTATAATTTAATGTTTTTTAATAAATATATAAATACATGAAACAAATTTAACCAAATAGATAATGTAATAATAAATAATGTATAAGTAAATATTAGTAAATATTATAACAAATAGATACACAAAATAATGGACAAAATCACATCTCATTAATAATTTTTAATTATTTTTTAATTATTTAATAATGGAATTACATCCATGTGATGCTCATCTAAACTCAAAAATATATTTAGTGCAATAATTCTTGATTTTGGTATAAAAATATCAGCATGTTTACATTTTTAGTCAGTAAACATGTCCTTTTCGAAGTAACTATGTTTCCAGCAGTAGAAAAGCATCTCTCGGAGCTGACGGACGTGGCAGGAATAGCTAAATGTTGCTTCGCTAATTCTGCAAGAGCTGGATATTTATTCTCTCTAAATTTCCACCATTCAAATGCATTTAGATCGAATCTCAATTGAGGTTCAGCTATATAATTTTGAAATTGAATACTTCTGTCATTACTGTCTGTAATTATATTTCCATACAAAAATTCGAGATCGCTCCTTTGAACTGGTGGTTCTTGTTCCAAATTATTGTTTTGGGTTCTAAATCTTTCAAGTAAATCCTTTACAACCGTTCGAATTTTTTCTCTTGCACCAATCGGTTCAAATTCTAAATCTTTATACCGAGGATCTAGAAAAGACGCGATTTGTTTGACAGAGACGGAACTTGTTTCAGTCCAGCCAAGTTTAAATTTTTCTTTAATTTCATGTATTATTGTACGTTTAAAATACGTGACATTTTGATCATCATTTTCTTTTTCTTTTAAATGATTTTCCATTAATTGTGCGAGTAATGGTCTAACCATCGACGCTGGTGAATGATTCTCAGAACAAAATAAATTTGTCACAATAAAAAGTGGCTTCAGAAGACTTACGAGAATTTCTATTTTTAACCATTATGATTCTGTTATTTCTAATTTTTGAGCAATATACAAAGACGTAACGGTTCTGTCCGTTAATACATTTAAAATTGCGGTTCTATTTTGTAAAAGGCGGTCTAACATTAAGTATATTGAGTTCCATCGTGTCTTACAACATTGAACCAGTGACTTATGAGGAATTCCTAGTTGTTCTTGTTTTTTAAATAATGACTGTTTAGCTACATTTGAATGTTTGAAATGCCCAACTAAAGAACTGCATTGTTTTATTAGTTCTGAAAATATTTCATCTTTTAGTGCAATACTAATGGCTAATTGTAGACTGTGAGCTGCGCATGTCACATCCATGTTTTCATTGTCTATATTAAGAGGTAGTAATTTGACAGCATTTACCACATTTTTTGCATTATCTGTGATAACAGTTGAAACTTTACCATTAATTTCCCAGTCATCTAATATACTTTTTAATTTTTCTGCTAGATTTACAGCCGTATGTCGTTCTTCCATCTCTTGTGTGGCTAAAGTAAATGACTTTGGCAACCATTCGTTGTTTATTATGTGAGCAGTTAATGATATATATGAATTTTGTTCCATTGAAGACCAACCATCAGTGGTACAAACTAAACTTTTCACATTTCTTAATTCATTTTTTATTTTATTCTCAACTTTTAATTTCAATGAATGTAGCCTTTTTTTCATTACTTCATCTCTACATATACATATTTTATAATTAGGCTCTACAACAGCCATGAATTGACAAAACCCAGGGGCCAGGACTCGAGCAAAACGATATAGGTAACTGATTCATTGCAATCAATGAAGCCAGTGCCTGGTGAATTTGTTCTGTTCTTTCAGGATTACATTCTCGATTAACACTTGACCCACATTTTTTAGGAACATTACGACGTTTTCTAGGTATAGATTTTTCGATATTTTCAGAATTTGAAGAAGTTGATGTAGTATTGTTAATTAGAATTGTATCATCATCTTTATCGGTAAAAGTTGTATTACTCAATGTAGAATCTACTTCTAAATCATTAGATACACGTTTGAACCCCAATTTCGACCTACAAAATGTATTTATTTATATTATAAATATTAATTGATTATGAAAATTTGACTCTAATAGAATATTATACTAATGTACATGTACACTANTTATGAAGTCTGTTGTTGTAGAAATAGATTCTGACAGTAGTGACAATGAGTTTTATGGGAATATCTGTACCGAAAAGAAAATTGATGATTATACAACTGCTTCAGAAGCAAAGCGATTGAATTATGCAAATTTACAGGCTATATCTTACCTAAGTTCAAATAAAAAAGATTTAGACGTTTTAAATGAATACCCTATCATTAAAGAGGTATTCCTAAAATACAATACCACGATTCCATCCTCAGCACCAGTCGAGAGATTGTTTAGTAAGGCAATTCAAGTCCTAACACCTAGGCGTAATAGATTAGGTGATAAAGTGTTTGACATGATATTATGTTGTAGATCAAATATGGTTTAAATAATGTATTGTTTATTTTAACATAATTTATTTTATTTATTTCAAATGTCAGTTTTTTTGTTTTATTCAGTAAGAGAATTACTTGTTACTTTTATAAACTTTTTATATTTTATATTTATTTTTAAAATGTTTGAAATTTGTTAAAAAAAAAAAAGACAATAATTTAATAAAGTACATTCATTTAAAATTTTTTTTAACTATGTATTTTTTTTTACCTGTAGACTGTAGTAGATATGCTGAATATTTAAAAAAATTATCTCATATTTATCTAGATAAAAATTTACAAATTTTTATCTTTATCTAGATAAAATTTAGTATAATTATCTTTATCTGTATCTAGATAAAAATTATAACAGTTATCTTTATCTTTATCTAGATAAATTATTAGTTATCTATTCCCAACACTGATTATTTTACTTGAATAAATGAATAAATAAAAATATAATTTATTAATTACCTCTTTCTTACTGACTCATCTGGTGGTGCAATACCATGAACATTTTGTAAATGTCTTATTAAAGACCCTGTAGTGCCGCCAACACAAGAATATTCATTATTATTTTCACCGTCACATAAATCGCAAAAGGCGCCGATCACCTTCACGTTTGGCAAAATCCCATACCCAACTTTTTCTTTTCACCATTTTGTCAAGAAAACTTTTATTTTTGATGAATGCGATCACTTAATGGTTGCACTCCAACTAAACGCATCGTATACTCGTATACTACATTAATATCGTATTATCAACGACGATAGAGTTCTATTTTCGCAACCGGACACCGTTAATTATTACGTGCACAGAAAAATTTCCCAGCACACCACTACTTATCCAACAACCAGATAAGATAAAACACGCAACGGGCCAAGTGGTGAAATTTAACAATACATTTAAAATAGTTGATATTGGGCATATTTATCATTCAGTTTTCACGTGAATATACTAATTCACGTATTCACGTGAATATGATTCAAATACATGTTCACGTGATTAAGCTTTCGTTGATTCACGTGTATTAACTTTACGTGATTTATTTTGTTTCATTCACGTGATCACAGTATCCGTGAACACGTACATTCATATTCACGTACAAAAACGAGACCCCTAGTATACACCTAATATCTAGATTCTAAATTATAATGAGTATGTTTATAAAACAAAATTTTATACTCATAATTACCAAACTCAGTAGGCACAGTAGAAATCAACAATCGAGTTTTCTCTGGGTTTGAAAACATATTTTCTTTGTAATGTTCATACACACTCCATAATTGTTGTAAAGGTTGTCAACAGACTTTGAACAAAATTCTTCCCTTCCACAATTAATCAACCATTCTTTAGACCTATAAATTAATTTATGTTATTAGGTAGAAGCAATTCCTTAAAAATGAACTAACATCATTGTATTGTTTTAATAAATTACTTACCGATGCAAATCTTTGGGTATTCTAAAAAGGTTGCAATTTTTTTCCTTTGTTGTACTTTTGGTATTTCTGCAATTTTGAACAACACATACGAGCACCATGATAGCCAATACAATTTATTCAGTAACAACAGTTGAGCTGGATAAATGAATTGGTTTTGAACTTAAATCTCGAGTCCCAACACTCAAAAAAACGACCGTTATTACACAGAATAAACAACTAGTAAGTATCAAAACAATATTATCACAAAATAATGTTGATATTAGCTTCCTTCAAAAAAATGGCGTCTTATTATTGTTAATATTATGAGTGTCCAGAGCTTGCCATTACAAATAAAACGATTAAATACAAATATAAAAGAGTAATAGAACCAAATAAGATATTGATCTAATATATTAAGTTAAAAAAATACTATTCAAGTACTTATTTCAAATATAAATCCTACTTATTAAAAACAAATATATCGTGTAGATTAAATACAGTATCTAATACCATTGATTATAAATACTATAGATTGCTCACTGTGCGGTTTTTTGGCGACGTGGTAATAATCGAGCGCCGCTACAAGGCGCTGCGGACGCTTGGCTAGTTAGATCTGATAACGTTGTAATCGCTAGTAGTCGCCTTCGTAGGCACAAGCGTCTAGGGACAGAGAACCGAATGGAATCAAAATGGCGGGTTTTTATCATTAATTTATATCAATCTGATAACAGACCTCATCACAATATTTAAAAATACATAATAATTAATATAATAATAGTTTGACTCTCGGTGTATAAAGTATAAACAAATAATATTATATAAAAATCAATTAAAAAAGTAAATAAAGTAATGAACAAAAATTATTATATAAAAATAATATAGTCGTGCATAAATCAATTAATTTGTGATTTTGACAGTTTTACGCTGTGTATAAAGTAATATATAAATACTAAATATGTAAGAATCATTAACTATTAAGCAGTATTATTTTTGAATATTAATGATGCACTGATATGATTTTGTTCTGTTCTGCTTGGTGTTTCTAATACCTTTCCCAATACTTTCCTTGGTTTCTTGGTCGAGTATAAACGGCGTTGTGGTATGATTTTTTTATTTGTTGGTGATGTCTGAGAAGTTTTTCTTTTTAAGGTTGGTGTATTTGAATTATTTCTTATTGCTGTTAATGTCGGTATTATGGGTAAAAAAGATTTTTTTAAGACATTTAGTTCTTCAATGGTAGATATTTCATTCAACACTTTATTGAATGACTCTTGTAGTTTCCTTTTTTCCAATTCTAGTGATAGCTGGCTTGTAATGGCTGAGTTATTTAATTGACTTAAAATATTGGAAGTTTCGTTGTTATGCTCACCGTCTGTGTTAGGCATGTTGTTTAAGTTGTTGTTCACAACTAAACAGTTTGTTAACATTTTAATATTTTCTTGATTTCTTATACTATATTGAAATTGGCAAACTAGATGAATATGTTTGCACATATTCCACTTAATTGCACTATCTATACAAGAGTATGTATGACAATGAATGCAAGAAAGACAGTCTTGGCATTGTATTTGACAATCACAGGACATTTTAAGTCTGTTCACTGTATACATTTCACCATATTTTTCGGACATGATGTCCCAACTATCTTCTGTTGTTTTCATAACCATTTCATGTGACATTTCTAGACTGTGTTTGTGCCTTTTACGCAGTTCTTTTATTTTCAATGTGATTTTTCCTTTATGGATCACAATTAATCTATCTATAGAACGATCTCGAATAAACTTCATCAAAGCATATAAAGACTTGTCAAGGCGCTTTACCTTTTTTCCCTGTAAGTAAATATGCTTTAGTGTACGATGCATAAATGCATTCGTTCTATATGCATATTCGTATTAACTCCAGCATGAATGCGATGGCAGTATGCCCATGATTAAACGCAATTTCCATATTGGCTTACGAAATAGTTAGCAAATTCACATGTTTGTTCATCAGCTGACATTTGATTAATAGCACTTTCAAAAATGTTTTCAAATGCTTTAGCGTCTTGTTCATGCAATAATGTTCTTACAATTTTGTAAACTTCGGCTTGTTTTTCCTTAGATTTAACTTTAGTCAAATTTTTCCTCCATGCTCTATCTACGTGCCATGTACAATATAGTCTAAATTTTGGTTGTTTCATTTCAACCAACCATGCATTAAAAAAACATTTGGCCATATCAAACATAAATACTTTTGGCTCAATTTGTCCGGTAAGAGCTCTGATCTGAGAAAATAAAATTTTTAATACACCTTCATCGACCCTATTACTTATCATGAAAGCACAAGGAAAACCTTCTCTCAGGTCATCAAGAATCAAAACTATGGTAAGATTGAAATTATATGAATTCATGCCATGGGCTCATCAATGCAAATTATATCATTACCAAATTTTTCTAACATTGATTTTTGATAATTATTCATTATTATTAAGACAAAATCTTCTTTTTTAGGTTTGGAAATAATGGATCTATATTGTCTTGTGGCTTATAGTATACTAAAGAAAATTTATCATCACTTCTCACAGTTTGAACCCAAGATTCAACACTCAATGCATCGTTTTTGTGTAAGACTGATTCATTATTCAAATTGTATGATGCTTCAATGTTATAAAGATCTTTTTTTGTTAATAGATGTGTTCTTTCTAACACGTTGTTGGAAATAATGTCACGAATTTCATCAAGTATGTGTTCAAATGGAATGTGTTCAGAAATTTTACTAGCTATAATATCCCTAGTTACTTTATCTAGTGGTAAGTTTCCTAAATCATTTAGATGACCAACATGTGTATCTATAAATGTAACTGTACATTGTTTTGTGCATTCTGACAAAATAACATTCATACTAGCTGGGCAGTATCCATTTATCTTATTCGAGCCTTGAGATTTTATGTGTCGCATACCAGTACTTTTTGAACTATAATAACCGTTTCTATGGCACTTATAGTAAATATAAATGTAATTTTCATTAACATTTTTAGCTAAACCACAATTTTTTACATAATATGCATTTGTCTTCTGCTCAATATCATGTTTCCATGTTTTAAAATCATCCAAACTGTTAAAATTAAATTTATTACTCTGCATTACTATATTGTGTACTGATGAATAGTGATCAGCCATTAATGATGTGCATGATGCAGTAAAAGAACACATTGAACAATTCACCAAGGCTACAACCGTTCTTTTTTTTTTCACAATTTGCCACTTTTTTATGCTCATCGAGATTTCTCTTATGGCAATATGATTTATCACATAAGTGACATGTATATATATATATATAATTCATTATTTTTCAACTTTTTTGTTGGGGCAATTTGATACACATCTATTAGAGGATGCGCTTTTTTTAAATGAGCTCTAAGGGTTTTTGAAAATTTAAACTTTTTTCCGCGTTCAGTACAGATAAATTCTTGATTTTCAGACATAGTACCTAGATCCTATTCAAAAAAAAAGTATTTTGGATAAATTATGTTAATTTATTTAACATGAAACAGAACCAAACAACAACAACTGAATCACAACATTGCAGTTACTCAACATTTTCAGACATAGTAGAAGAATCATATTCAAAGGAAAATAATATTTTGGATAAATTATATTAAATTATTTAATATACAAGTATAAAACAAAACAATAACAACAAATTTATTAGTATATAAATATTAATGTATAAACATTTAATAAAAAAATACATAAATCACCAGCAGGTAACAATTATATGATATAGCAATATCTTAAATTACCTTAACAATCCAAATAATGTAAATTAAAAAAAATTTTATAATATTAATTATGTAGCCTGTAATAATTATTATGTAGCCTGTGATAAATATTATGATAAGGTCTGTTATCAAATTGTATATTTTTCTTATCTAAATGTAAATTAATGATAAAAACCCGCCATTTTGATTCCATTCGGTCCTCTGTCCCTAGACGCTTGTTTCGTAGGCGGCCGAAGCACAACGCGCGCACGCCGCAGTGGCAGTGCCTCACATAATGTCAGCGTTGCCAGATTTAGGGATTTTTCCTCTTTCTGGGGGTTTTAGACCACTACAAGGAAATTTTAAGGAAACCGGGGAATTTAACTATGTTTCATGGATTTTTCATATACTAGAAAATTACAGAAAAAAATTGTTAATTAATAATTATTTTATTGAACATAACACAACCTTAATGAGCTTTATTATTCTTTAATATCATCATTACAGTAAATAACATTAAAACTGTATAAGTAGTTTAAATAAAATAACTATTTTTAATCAGCTGTGGCAGTGAAGCTGCCATTCTATCATAAGCGATATGTATCTGAGGACTTTGTGACTGAAACAGTATGTTTAAGGTGATTAATATAGGTAAAACAAAGTCTAAAAACCGTAAGTACAGTTCAGTACACGGATTTGATATTTTTTCAAGCATTTGATTGACTTTTAGGTCACCTTCACGACTATGATAAGTATATTATTCATTGATAAGAAATTATGTTGTCAAAATGCCAAGTCCTGACGCATGCGCGGTAAGCACTTGGAACGTTGGGATTTGTCTCGGTGCAGATCCAATCGTCAATTTTGCTCCCGAGATGCTCGTATTCAATCATTATTCTGTGATAATAATAAGATTAAAGTGACAGTGACGCAGTCATGACAAAATATATAGGTATGTCAGCAACTTTGTGATACGCACATGACAAAATATATATATATATTTTGTTATGGATACGCATATCCTCGGGAAGTACCCCCACTTTTTACCGTGCATTACGTTCTCCATCTCTCATTGGTCGTATGTATCATACGATACATTTCTGAATTATCAGTTATCACCTTATCCGTTATCGGCTTAGCATATTCCCATATTATATTTTCAAATTTGTATTTTTTTATATTTAAATATTTGTACGTAAACGTAATTTCCTAATGGCTAATTGTCATTAGGTAGTACTAGGTAGGTACTTACTCAGTAATTTACAAAAATATTTGTTTAATACTTCTGTTGGTTCGAAAACATCGACCTCCGAACCTATATGTATTCGTTTATTAATTATCATTAAATGTACGGTAACATACCTACCAAAAACAAAACGCGTGAAATTACCTATTTAATAAATTTTTGTATTTTTTGTTTATCATATCGTTTAAATTTCTTATTTACAATTTCTTTATTTAAATTGTTTATCCTTATATAAGTCTTCGTACGAACTAAACATTTGATGACTTCATCCGGTTAGTTTAAATGTTTAATATTTTTTTCAAATATATTACTTAAATTTGTTATTATACTAGGTGTTTTCAAAAGGCTGTCTCCGTGAAATGCATTGAAATCTACTTCTAATTGTTCAATTGCTTTTTCGAGGCTATATGAAGGCGTTTTTAGATTTCCTTTTGAAATACATTGTGTCCAACTGTTTGATTGCTGGCTATTATTAGTATGGTTAATCAAATGTGGATATTTACTTGAAAAACGATTAGCTACATAGCCAGCTACATATTGAGCACATTCTTTCTCCAGTTCACTGAATGGTTCTTCAGTTTCCATCTGAAAAGTATGAGTTAAATTTTATAATTGAATTTTAAAACTTATAAATTTTTAATGTATGCCTCAAATTGTTTAAGGAGATCAAAATTTGATTTTGATACAACTGTTTTCATTGAACCTAAATGCCCTTCTACTTCTGCTGTGTTTTCAAATTCTGAATGCTGTTGTAGATCAGTCAACAGTTGAGAAGTTAAACACTCGTGGTCATCTAAAGTTAACAGACTGGTTTCAAGACTACCTTCTGTATTGTTGTTTTCGGTGAATACCAAATCTGAGTATTTACCCAATATATACCAACGCAAGCTATAATATACACAAAAATAATAGTTATCATAGAGTATTGTCAAGAGTTTCATAGATATTATAATTATACCTAAATTTTTACATAATTTTGTTACATAATGTAAGTAGTTACCAGTATTTAAAATCTAAAACAGTTATATTGTTACTGGCACTCCCAGCCATTCCCTTTAAAAAGCTAAACAGGTTTTCTAAAATGTCCTGGTTTAGCTTTCTTGTTAAGACATATTGAAGTCCATATACATTTTTCAAGTCTTTCATCAATTTTTTTAGGGATAAGTTGCTGACTAAAATTCCTGTTGGAGAATAGTAGGGTTAAAAAATAAAATTCATTATTAGTTATGAATTATTAGAAATAAATAGTAAAAATAATTACCCTTTTGAAAAGGAAGAAGTGATTTCTTGCCATAAACTCTCATATGTTTAATAAAATTGTTCATTTTCTCAATTATCTCATTTTGAGTTTGTTCATTAAGCCCATAACTCTCTACACCTTTATCGTACTTATTTTGCGTATTTAATAAATCGAACCATTCATTGAATAATGAAATTATATCTGCAGCCTATTTCAAATTATAAACATTTAATTGGTCAGCAAAGTAATATAGCATTAACTATATAACTTGATAATAATTATTCGGTTCTATGTATGAGCTTAAGGTATATTAACGTTTCGTATCTATTAGAGACGTACATTACATTATATTATCTCCATTCACCCACTGAGAAAACATTGTTTCCCAATTAAAAAATTATAATACTTACATCTCTCCAGTTATATGTATTTAAATCTCCCTTTTCTCCACAAAATGTGATTGCTTTAGCTACAGTGTTGGAAAGCAACTGAGCAGCCAGTTTCACATTCATCCGCCCTGTTCCCTCAACCAACAAATGACGGCTAGTAACTTTATGAGCTAATTTATAGTCATGTCCTGAGTTAAGGTTAATTAATTCTTCAAATATATTTTTCCCAATATATTTACCATTAGGAAGAATAAAACCTCTGAATAAAATATTAGTGTTTGGATATTTTATAATTACATTTAATGATTTAAAAATTAACTTCATACTTATCAAGTAAATGATTCCTGGCTAACTTGAGCAAATGGGGTACATCTGCAAAGACGTAAACTTGATTTTTTGATATGGGATGTTCAAATGAGGTATTATCTACAGATATATTTAAACTATTCCATAGCCTCATGTTAGTTGAACCCATGTCACTAACTATAGAAATCACATTAAAGCCAACGTTATGCAACTGTTCTATAATTTGGAATAGTAACTCTTTTATCATTTTTTTGTCATAGCCATAATATATTGGTTGTTTCCAATTATTAACTAACCCTATTACAGAAATAAAATGTATAGTATTTTAACAATTCAAATATAAGATCATTTATTTTGTATTTATGGTAAAATATTGAAATGCAATATATACCTCGAACAATAACAGTTTGAATACATTTATGTGGTCCAATAACACGTTCATTTTTTTTATCGAAACATATTCTGTTTG